AAGTGGTACCTATTTATCTACTTGCAATTTCTTGCTTTCAAACTGCTAGGTTGGCAGGAGCTGGAACTAGAGACGGGAGCTCACTCCGTCATGCGGCACACTCGGGTCTCGAACTGGTGAACTACTGTCCTTCCACAGCCTGCAGTTCAGAGTCTTAACCACTTGAGCCACCGCAGCTCCTTCAAATTAAGCAAATTAGAATTGTCTAATTTGAAGTTTAGAGTTTGTATTGTCATGAAAGGGTGTAGCAAGGAGGCGAAGCCTGTCTCCCTCCCCCCCAAGACCTCTGCATATAGGGAGAGAGGTGGTTTCCCCTCTCGCTGTAGAGTGCTTCTCTATAGCACCCATAATCGGAGGCAACCCTTTCAACTTTTTGTTTTAGGTACAGAAGAAGATGCAGGGTAATAGTATTATGCGAGTTAGAATGAACTGTAGGTTTTGAGTGGGATTATGAGTATTTATAAGTTATGGGGAAGTTGGATGGGATTTATAAACGGGTAAGATAGAGGGCATAGAAAAAGAGGAGGGACTAGAAGAGTGAAAAAAAATTGGTTGTTGTAATAGTAACCTCAGATGGATTTTTTTTCTTTGTTTCACGATTGTCAAAAATGGAAAATGAGTTTATCAATAAGATGAATAATGAATTTATGTTTGTATTTTGACTGATATACTCAATAAAAATGTAAATTAAAATTTTTTACTTTTGTGCAAATTAGAACAGTTCACGATGCTTTAAGATTCTCAAGGGAAAAAGTCATAGAAATGTTTGCTGCTTTCTCTTAGCAGAGGAATTTTGAGCCTGCTTTGACCTACATGAGCCAAAATTCTAAGAAGCAGATGTTACTCTTTATGAAACAGAGGGATATACAGAAGTATATGCCAGAAAGAGCAATGGAAATCAAAGTATTACTGAAGTGTTACACTAAGAGTCACTGGAGGACACTGGAAAAGAAACAAAGATTAACATGAATCTTATATTCCTGCACCAGCTATGCGCCCAACCTCCCAATCTTGGCTACTTAATTTCCTCTATCCCATCACTTCCAAAGCCCTATTCAAAGTCATTGTTCCATTTTCTATATAGATACAAGTACATTGTAATCCAGCATTGCTGTGCAATTTTTTTATATATTGGTTCTTATCCTCTGCTTCCCACAACATGCACCCTGGTGAAAAATGTGTTCAAAGATATATTCTTGGAATATGCTCCCAAGGGTACATGATCTTACTTCCCAGCCAAGCATTCTTAGCTGCACATGGTCACTCACAGCATTTTGCCTTGATGGTTGCAGAAGACATGAATCATTCATAAAGACTGAGAATAGATTGGGGGGGGGGGGCTTCTTGCTAAAGAAAAGGTTACTCATCTGCTTCCCTGCATGTATCTTAAAGAACATGAAGATGCCAAGATAACACGAGCAGTACCATGTACATTTAACTTAACTCATGTGAAGCCCTGTCATAACACACTGGTGCATTTGCTTTGAGGTAAACAGAAGCCCTAGAATCAGGTTGGTTCTTATAAGCAACTTGGATATGCCAATTCTATGTAGTTTCATTCTTTAAACAGAAACTGAGCTGGTAAAAGTGAGGCTATGACAGGAAGGGTGCAGCACGCCAAGCTGAATGCAACTCATTCCAGTTCTAGCCTTGAACCATTAACATTTGCTAATACATAAACAAATCCATCTTAAGGGGTACTGAAACAGGCTCTTTAGATATGACTAAAGGGAAAAGAGAGTTTGGTTGAGAAATAAAGTGAGCTGCTTGTGTGCCTACTCAAAAGGGTTGAGATTAAGCTTCTTACAGCACAATCCTATGCAAAATTACATCCTAAATCTTGAAAGGATGCAACTGCTTAGGATGGCACTGTCAATCACCTATTTTCCTACATTAATTTTTAAATAAATAATTCTGCCTTTTGGAGGTCAAGAAACTAGTTGGCAGTAGAGTGTTAAATGAAAAACAGGGAAAGCAGCACTCAGAAAAGAGGTATGGAAGGGGAGGAAGGGGTTGTCTAAGAGACCTTGGATTACGCCACTTATGCTGAACCACATTCTCCTCTGGATGAACAGGGATCATCAAGTACAAGGATCAATATAGCCTGAAGTTATAAAGTGGCACAATGAATAAGCACACTCAAACACACCACCAATTCTCCATCTGAAAGCAACTTCAGATGTAAAGTCCTCTGAAGACTGGAGGTTCTTGCCTGCCCCATGCCTGCAAGGTGCCATACCTGGAGCTCTCCTTTTGCTGGCTCTCAAGTCTATGATGCCATCTCTCCTTCTGCACCCTGGGAAAAGTAATCTCTTCCAAAGCAAGTTGAGAAGTAAGCATTCAGACTTCCCCCCCCAAAAAAACTTCACATTTATTGATACAAATTAAAAAAAAAAGACTGTCATTACCAAGATTGAGGTAATATGTTTACAAAACATTTACAGAAACTGTAGCCAAATTGTTAAATTAAGTTCAGGGGGAAAAGGGTCAGCAGAATTGTCAGTTCCGGCAGGAAAGGGAAAGCAAAGCCATAACTAAAAAAGACTCAGAAGAGCAGGGGGTTAGTCGGGTCACAGCTGACATGGCACGCTGCTCAAAAAAATAAAGGTCAAGTCTTGCTTTTGTGATGTATGGAGCCCCTCAAGTGTTTGTGCTTTGAGCTCTGAAAGATGTATTAGATTTCTAGAGAAACAGTATCCCCAAAGGACAGTTCTGAGCAAACTTAAGAGATCTTCAGACAAGAGAACTGGCTGCAACTCAAAAAGGAAAAAAAAAAGTTCTACAAAGCCAGACATCTCTGGGCAGATGTGGACTGTTGAATGAAGCAGTTCCTTTACAGCTGTCAGCAAAATCGCCATCTGAGAGAAAAGAGAGAAAAAAAGAAGGGACCATCTTTCAAGACAGAGCCCTTACAAGTGGGAAAGAGGATGCACCCTTTTGCAGTGGGGCACCAGTGATACTTAACAACAAAGCAGGTGCACATGGCACTATGCTTCTTTGAGGCGAAGAACCACATTCATGCCTGCATACCAAGGATCAAAACTGTTACTGAAGGTAGCTGGGATCTAACTACCTAAACAACAGTAGGAGAAACAACATAGCACGTGCACAGTTATATAAGAACTATTTAGATTCCTCCCAACTCCAGTTAGCCAGTACATGGGTTGAATACTTAGAAAAAGACAACTGTTACTTGCCCAGTTCAAAAGGAAGCTATTTTAGTTCCTTTTAAAACCAATATAGGCTTTTTAACATCCTGTTCCTAAGCAAATTCTTACAAGTTGCATTTCACTGTTTCTTTACTTTTTTTCAACAGGAAATCCACCACCATTATGTTTTACAAGCTGGCCAAGCAGAGAGTTTCTGGGCCCAGCCAGAAAGGCCCTTTACTTGAAGTAGATCTGACTGCCCAGGAGGAGGGGGGCAGTGTGGAGCCATTTCAGCAGTTATTGCGCATTCTGGGAACTCATTTGCATGCCAACAACCTTGAGCTCTCTTGAACACGTGACAAGTTTAGTCTCACATAAAATATTAATGGCCTTACTGCTGGGCTTAAAGAGCACTGAGAGTTGGAATTTAAACTCTCTCTATAGTGAGTGGGGGAAAGGTGGGAGAAGGGAGTGGTGCAATTATTACCAGTTGAAGGAGAAAGCTTTACTAAGATGCTGGTGCCCCAGCTATCCTGCAGTGGCATATTTTTGCCCAATGTTTGGGGTTAAAGAGAATAGGAAAAGAAGAACTGTTGCAGCCATGTCTTCCTCTAACCAAGACCTGGCAGAAAGGAGTTCCCCAAGCTGAGTGCTTGCTGCGGGTGAAAAAAGATTCTAGTGTGGAGAGAGAGGGAGAGAGAGAGAGAGAGAGAGAGAGAGAGAGAGAGAGAGAGATATGAACCTGAGAACCCAATGTAGGGCCACCCTTTAAACTGATCTGAGGAGAGCCTGCTCTGTCCTCTTCTTCCCCATCATCAGTCCTCAGAAATGTAAACTAAAGGCTGAAAAAAAATATCTTTCAATGCCCAAAGCTGGAATATGGCCTTAATGATGTGATCAAGTGGAAAGTATCAGTGTCAAAATGGCTTCTTGTGAGAGCCTGCTCCTATTCCTCTACAGAGGACAGCACACATCTGTAACAAAGCTAGGTAAAAAGTTGAGCCAGTCACCAGCTGGCCCTTTCTGAAATGTAAAGCATCCAGCCACTCTCGCCTCCAGGCCTAAACAGCGGGCAGTTAATACAGGAGGGGAGCTCACAGCAGGAGGAAGGGAGAAAAAGGTTTTTTTGAAACTCAGCAGGATCACCATGGGCAGCAGCCTTAGATTGATTAAGGTGTCTAATGTACTACAGGTAGGGTGTTAGTTTTTAAAATTAGGTTCTCAACCACCAATACATTACTTGTTTCTTTTGTTCCAAAACAGCCCTTGCATTTCCAAGTTAGGGTTTGTGCAAGCATGTTTAGAAAGTACTATGGCTACAGAGTTAGGGTTAGACACACTCGGTTTTCAGGTCTAGTTCAAACAAAACCATTACATTTAAATGCAAGCAGCTACTTTACTATCTATAAAAAGGCCTTCACGTGTGTATTTTTTCCCCATTTTGTCTGTGATGATTATGCTGCATTGTGGTTGGCCTCCACAGACGAGGGTCCAGCCATCTCATCCTTTGACTTTTACTGGCTGTGGCACTACCTGGAAATCATGGAGCTGGAGTGAGACTGAGTGGAAGAGGTTGTAGCAGCACTAAGCTGAGAAAATCCACTGTGGCTTGATTCAAGGCTGCTCATGGACCCTCTGCAGCAAGAGAGAGAGAGAGAGACAGACACACAAAGAGACAGGTTAAGGATGAGAGCTATTTTGTGCATCTTTAGCATGCTACTTGTTCTAGCTTCTGTCTCAGAGCCTAACACATTACAGAACAGCCCCCTGTCAGCTCCTTCCCTTGATGTCCAACATAGAAAGATGTCCTCTCCCCCAAATCCTTTATGTAGTGAACGGAATGTGAAGTGTCTCTTATTTCATGTGAGCACAAGGCTACCCTCTTGTCTCCCACCCTGTTCCTCTGGTCCCTGCAGAGCCCTCCGCAAAAGAGGTCCTCTTTCTCACTCCACCAAAACCTGATGTGAAGGCAAGATGCCATTCAAATCTCTGGCATGCTACTGACCTTCTCAATGCTTGGTATCCTGGCCAAGACATGCTTTACATGGCCAGATACCTGCAGGGGGCTAAGTGAATGAAGCGTTATTTCCCTCACCTCAAATCTCCGGCTCACCCCCAGGTTCAATAAATGAGTTAAAACGTAAACAGGTCCTCGGACTGAGCATGCACATTTTTCTTTCTGATTCTCTGCAGCAAGAAGTTTTCATAAATGACACTGCCATTTATGGTCAAAGACTGAAACTGATTTAACCAACTGACTTCTCCAAAACACACTGATGAGCTTTGGCTGCATGACTGAAGTTGAACATCAGAAGCAGCCAAGGTGTGTACATGTCCTCCTTCAAGAAACTGGAGAAAACAGAGGATTCAGTGCAATACTTTGTGGCAAGAGCAAGGCACCTTTGTGATCCTTGTGGCTAAATGCTCTCTTTTCCTCAAATCAAGAGGGCAAAGGCATCTTTAAACAACTGTACCAACAACATATAGTCTGGCCTGGGGTATTCTATATAGCTACCGTTCCATGTATACAGGTGTACATGATATAGGCCTGGTTCTCTGACAATCTGGATCCTCTGAAACACCATTCTAGCTTTTATGACAGCAAAGAAAGCCTGGAAATGTGTAACTTGTGTCTGGTGACTTTCAAAAAATTAAAAGCAGGATGAACTTAGCTTTGAATGAACAGGACTTCCATAGCCTACTTAGCTCCTAATCCTTCTTTCATGATTATTTCTTGTTCCTAAACCCTGGTCCCATAATACCAATCACTATGACCCCTAGTTTTCTATGCTTCTTGGTACCCCATTTTTTGCCAGGTTTACTGTTGGGATCTTTTGGAATTCAGGGGTCATGTAACCATGCACACAGTCTTATGTAGGCAAAAAAACAGGTTGCTTACCTGTAACTGATGATCTTCGAGTCTTCTGTGCATTCACACCTCTGGAATATAGTGTGCCTGCACTGACCTCGATCGGTTTCTCTTGAAAGCAAAAGGGATTTTCGCGCCCGCTCCCCAGTCCCGCGCCACCCCCACTGTGCATGACAAAGGGAGGGCCATGACAATCCCGCCAGTTCCTTCTGACCGCTGCCATCAGTCTCAGAGTAATAAAAGGAGAGGACCAAAAGCAGAGGGGAAGGAGGGCGGGTGGTATGAATGCACAGATGACCACTCAAAGATAATCAGTTACAGGTAAGCAACCTGTTTATCTTCTTTGTGGTCTCTGTGCATCACATCTCTGGGAGATTAGCAAGCAAAAAACAGGCCAAACTGGAGGAGGGAGCTGAAGGTCCTAGACTTGTGCCGCCTGTAACACTGCCCGTCCCACCACAGAACGTTGATGAAGACGCACATCCAGGGTGTAATGTTTCACGAACGCGTGGGGGGGGGGGAGCCCAGGTTGCTGCTTGACAGATGTCAGTGAGCGACGACCCTCTCAGGAAGGCTGTGGACGTGGCTACTGTCCGGGTGGAATGCACTCGGAGTGGGCCCAGAAGTGGCCATTTGGCCCGTAAGTAGCACAGTTTATTTATTTATTTATGTTTGATGGTTTCCACAATCCACTTGGATAGACGTTGTGAAGAAAGCTTCTTCCCTTGCACAGATGTGCTATAGGAGACAAACAAGGCTGGTGACTGATGGAATGACCTTGTCCTATCGAGGTAGAAGAGTATGGCTCTCTTGACGTCTGGAGTATGAAGACGGCGTTCCTCGTCGCTCGTAGGGGACAGGAAAAATGTTGAAAGAGCAATGTCGGCTTGCAAATGGAACTAAGAAACAACCTTGGGTAGGAAAGAGACATCCGGGGCCAAGGTGACACCATCATGGTGAAAAACCAAGTACGGAGAATCGCAACGGTATACAGACAATTCGTTCACTCGTCTTGCTGAGGTAATGGCTACTAGGAAGGCAGTCTTCCACGAGAGAAGCTGCAGACTAGACGTGGCCATGGGCTCAAACAGTTTGCCCGTTAATTTGGACAGTACTAGAGATAAGTCCCAGGAGGGAGTTGGCCCATGAGCCGGAGGAAAGAGGCAAGTGAGGCCCTTTAAAAACTGCTTCGTTTGCGGGTGAGAAAAAATGGAATAGCCATCCACCGCATGATGATTGGCGGAAATGGCAGCTAAATAGACTCTTAAAGAGGAGCAACTAAGATCCAAGTCCAGGCAGGTCAACAAGAATCCGAAAACTATCCTGAAGTCCATAGGGGGGGTGGTAAACCCAACGACTCGAGGTAAGACAGGAATTTCTTCCACTTCCCTTCATAGGAAGCGCATGTAGCTGGCTTCCGACAGTTCAACAGAACAAGGTCTATCCTGTTTATGAGCTGTGTTGGGGATCCTCCACGCCATGAGTTTGAGGTGTGGTACATCGTGGTGAAGCACTTGGCCCTCCTGAGCCAGGAGGAGATCTGGTACTGGGGGGAGATGTATGTATGTGCCCCGGGACATGTGGAGTAGAGTTGGGAACCAGTGCCAACATGGCCACCATGGTGCCACGTGGATGCATTGAGGTTGTTCCTTCATGATCTTGCTCAGCACTCTGGTAAGTAGAGGAATTGGTGGGAACAGGTACATATGCCTGTGGGACCATGGGAACAGAAGGCCGTCCCCCAGAGACAGAGGGTCCTGTCCCACCCTGGTACAGAACAGATGACACTTCACGTTCTGATGCGTCACAAACACATCGATTTCTGGGTGACCCTATCTGTGGAAAATTGGTTGGAGTTAAGCCCAGTTGAACTCCCACTTGTGGAGGGATGCACCTCCTCTGCTCAGAAAGTCCGCATGCACATTGAGCAATCCTGGCAGGTGAGCAGCAATGATGAACACGCCCCAGGAATGACACTCAGTCCAAATCTCCCAGGCCAGTTGACAAAGTTTCCTGGACACTGTCCCGCCTTGCCTGTTCAGGTAGCACAGTGCAGTGGTGTTGTCTGTCAGGATTGCCACCGTATGGTGAGCCATAAGGTGGCAAAAGGATCTTAGGGCATACTGGATGGCAAGCAGTTCCAGGAAGTTGATGTGTTTGTGGGCCACATGAGGTTCCCATTTGGCACCCACACACACACCTTGGAGGTGAGCCCCCCATCCCCACAGGGATGCATCCGTGGTTAGGGTTATTCCGGGGCTGGATGCAAGAAATCGGGCTCCCTGAAGGAGGTTGTCTGGAGTTTCCCACCACTGTAGGGAATTCAGCACTTACACTGGTAGCATGAGCCGTTGAGATTGGGGCTGCCACTGTGGATGGAAACATTTGAGGAACCACAGCTGAAGTGGTCTCATCTGTAGACTGACGAAGACAAGTACTGCTGTGGTGGGGGCCATCAGACCCAAGAGCCATTGAATCTGCTTTGCTGATGCATCTCCCTGTGTTTTTATCAGGTTGATGAGAGCGATAATGTCTCCTGCCCTTTTGGGAGGGAGAAAGGCTCGGCAGACAGTTGAACCGAAAATTACTCGGATAAACTGGACTCTCAATGAAGGAAGGAGAATTGACTTTTTCAGGTTCACCCTCAGGCCCAACACATCCAGGGTGACCAGTGTTAAACCAATATGGTTGAGCAGCTTGCTACCAACAACCAATCGTCTATGTACAGAAAGATCCATACATTCTGGAGGTGGAGGTACACCGCAATGACAATCATAATTTTTGTAAAGACTCTGGGCACTGTCGAGAGTCCAAAAGAAAGGACTTTGTACTGAAAATGGCCTTCCGCGACTGCAAAACGCAAAAACTTCCTGTGAGATGGGTGGATAGCTATATGAAAATATGTGTCTTGCAAGTCCAGGGTTACCATCCAGACACCTTCGCTGAGAAGGGGGAGAATGCTTTGTAATGTCATTCGGAATTTCTGATAGGAGATAAACTGGTTGAGTTCCCTAAGGTCCATAATAGGATGGAGTCCTCCGTCTTTTTTGGGACCATAAAATAACAGGAGTAGAACCTGTGTTGACGCTGTGCTGTTGGGACTGGTTCTATAGCATCCTTTTGAAGAAGGTTCTGGATTTCTTCCAGGAGCGTACTGGATGGTGGAGTAGTTATGAAGCACCCCTTTTCGATGACAGAAAGTATCCACTGGTCTGATGTTATTTGCTGCCAAGCAGCCAGGTAGGGAGACAGGCGGGTAGGGGTGGGACAACAGGAGTCAAAGGCTTTGCTTGGAAACTTTCGGAGTCTTAGCCTTAGGCTGAGAGATGGATGAGAATTTTGGTTTTTGCCCATAAGGGCGGGAAGACACAGTGGGTGAGCATTGCCACTGTGTTTCTGGGGACGATTTAAGAGAGGATCTGCGAGACCATGGCTTGTTCCAGGATTTTGCTTCGGATAGTTTAGGAACCGACGTTGACTCCTAAATTTCGCGACGTCTTTATACCTTTGTCTAGGTCTTGCAGGACCGTATCATTCGTGGCACTGAAAAGCCCTCACCTTCGATTGGAAGGTCCTCAATGAGAGTCCTGGTGTCCTGCGGTAGGGCAGTAGAACGCATCCAGGTGTGACGTCGGAGGGTAACGGCTGAAGTCAGCGTTTTGGCGGCTGCATCCAATGTGTGCTTAGCTGCATTGAGCTGATGCTTAGCCAAAAGCATTCCCTCCTTTTGAATCCTGCGAGCCTGACGGTTAGCGTCCTCAGGGAGGGTTGCAATAAATTCAGACATCTGCTCCCAAAGAGCAGACTGATATCTCCCCATACATGCTGTATAGTTTGAGGTCTTGATGCCAAGTGCTCCTGCAGAATAAAATTTTATTCCAAACGAATCAAGTTTCCTTTCTTCTTTCTCAGAGGGGATGGAATGATGGTGTCTGCACTTGGAGGAAGAAGTGATTACGTCAGAATTAGGTTTAGGGTGGGTAAACAGAAATTCAGCACCCTGCTCCTGCACCTTATACATATGATCTACCCTCTGGGGCTTGAGATGGGGGGGTAGATGCCGGGTGAGACCATGGAACTTAAGCCGCCTGAAGGAGGACTGAAGTCATTGGTAAGGCAATCGGGGTAGAGATCTGAACGACATCAAACATGGAGTCTGTCACAGTAGCTGGAGGCTGTACCGTAGACAGAGTGAGTGTGTTAGCCACCCACTTGATGAAATCTCCGTAGGATTTTAAGTCTTCTGAAGGGGAGATTGGAAGATCATCGCCCACTTGTTAAGGTGGCGAGGGTTCCACTGGAGGATTGGGGTTTTCGTCCCCTGATTGGGAGGAAGCGTCTGAAGAGGCGGAGTGCTCAGACGGCTCGGAAAAAGACATAGGTAACATTGGTATCGATGGAGTTGGATTCAATGGTTCTTTAAACTTTTGAACTGTTGGGTGCAACAGCTTGGGAGGTTTGCCAATCGCCCCCTCGACAGTTGGGGTCTCACAAACTCTGGTGTCGATGGAGGATCTCGATACCGGGAGAGACGTGAAGAGGTGGACTGACGGTCCCACTTCATTGGTTGGGGTGGGAATCACGGCATACTGCCTGTAAATGGATACATACTGCCTGTAAATGGAGAGGCCCCATACATGTATTGCCACTGCCGTTGGTCCCAGGAGGGCGGTGGCGACAGGTGGATTAGTGCCGATGGTTGGTCTCGATCATCAGGTCGGAACTGTGAAGGACGGACAAATGCATTGGCTCCGTGGTCTGAGTGCAGACTTTCAACACTGGAAGACCGGGAGATCTGTGTCAAGTCCATATTGTGCTCAGAGTCAGTGACCTGGATAGGACGCAGCAAAGGCGACTGAGGTACACCTTGTGGCTGCTCTTGGCTCGAAAAGTCAAGGGAAGCAGCCCCCATAGGATTCGGTTCCGTGGCCCTCCAAGGGGTCAGCGGAGATTGCATAGGGGGAGTTTTCTTATGCTTTTTATGCTTGACTGGCCAATCGTCCTTGCCCTCCCTGCGTTTTTTAGAGGGAGTATGGGCTTTGGATGGAGATGCCTGGGCCGAGTGTTTCAGCATCGGGCGGTCGACATCTATGTGAGTCGATATCGGGGTCAGCGCAGCCATCAATGCCAAGGCAGCAGTCGACATTGACGCATGCCCTGAAGTGTCCTGTGATGACATTGGTGAAAGCGCTAATTCCAAAAGCGCAATGCGAAGTCTGGCAGCTCTGTTCTTCCTTGTCTGCTTTGAAAACGTAGCGCAATGAGCACAAGAGTCCACTTGGTGCGATTCTCCGAGGCACAAAAGAGAAAGCAAGTGTCAGTCTGGAGGGGTGATCTTGCTGCCGCACTTACGGCACCGTTTAAAGAAACCCCACCTCTTGGCCATAGGCTGGGAGAGGGGTGGGGGAACACACGACAAGAGTCCAAAAGGAAATAAATCCGTAGAAACAAAGTCCTTTCACCTAACGAAAAATAAACAAGAAGAAAACAAAGAAACTTCGAAGAAAATGAGGAATAGGCCTAAAAGCCCAAATTTTTTACTGACTGAAGTGGAGAAGATCCTACCAGTGCGGCGCTCAGAAGAGAACTGGTGGGATTGTCGTGCCCCTCCCTTGGTCATGCGCAGCGGGGGCGGCACGTGACTGGGGAGTGGGCACGAAACCCCCTTTCGCTTTCAAGAGGAACCAATCGAGGTCAGCATAGGCGCACTATATCCCAGAGGTGTGATGCACAGAGACCACAAACAATTCTGCATAAAACCTATGCATAAATTCTATACAATGAGTATGTACTCAATGTAGAATTAAAAGTTAAGGAACCAAGTCCATGCTTGTCCATTTACTACCCTGGAAAAAATCAGAATCCTTGCGAAATACAGATATTTTGTGGACGGGATGGAGCAAAGGCAAGCAAGGTGAAAGGCTTTTACAGTAGAGTATGGGAAGCAGGATGCAAGGGTGTGACACATAAGGTATTACTGACACCAAACCAATCAGCAACAAAAAGGTGAAGTCTAGAGCAGTAATTACAGCCATGTGCTTCACACGCTGAAGAGTCAGAATTTTTTCCCACTTACAGGCCCTAAGGCAAACCTCCAGTATTTAAAGTGGCAGACTCCATCTGGATTCTTTACTGCCCTAGGCAAGTCCTTCACAGCTTTGCTTTTAGGCAAAAGGGAAAAAAAATGGTTTTCTTTTATAAGCCTTTACCCCTGTTAAGATACCACAGCCAACAGTACCTGAAATCTTCTGACCCGATCACTTCTGTGTAGTACATAACTTTGCACTTATGAGATGAGACTTGCAGAGATGCCAGAACGTCATCCACACGTGGCAAGCTGGTTGTAGCACAAGCAGGCATGCTGTGGAACTTCCACTGGAGAATGTAGAAGCCAGGCCACCTAGTCACATGAGACCCCTGCAAACAACAGCAGAAAAAGGCAGCACTGGACTTGTTGAAGGCTCTTTTCTGTGCCTTAGGATGAAGAGACAATCACCTCTTATAGTGCCCCATACAGCAACAACTAACACAAGGGAAGAGACTGTTAGAAGGATTCAACTTGGCAGTTGTGGGAGTAGGGTAATACTCAGTTTCTCACATGGGTAGATATCCTTATAACCCCAAAAAAGACTGGTTGGCAACCTTCGGGCTTGCCTTGCTTTCCTGAAAACCTGGTCTCTGATTACTTGCCCTACAGCCATCCCTGTATTTCCTCTTGTTGTGTTAGATATTGTAAAATAGGGAACCCTATTGTGATAAAATTAGATGAAGATGCATGGTTGTGTCATTAAGGTTTGCTGTAACTTTTGCCAAGGCATACATATTCCAAAGTTTTGAATGCCAATTTTGCCTATTTGGACCAGTTTTATTTTTCCATTGCAATGCAACTGCATTTTTAGCTACGGATAAAAGAATGGCCACTGTTTTAATAATGTTATCTGATCTAACAATAGAGTTCCATTGATTCAAAATAATATGTTCCACCAAATATTGTATAGACACTCCAGTTATAACTTTTATCTGTACTATATCTTCCCAAAAACTCCTTAGTTTAGGACACCCCAGCCAACAATGGGTGTAAGTTCCAATTTGACCGTATTGTTTCCAACATAGAGGCTTTGCCATATTTACCATATGGGCTAGCTTCTGTGGTGTAATGTACCAAAATGTAAGTATTTTAAATATTTGTATTTTGATATCTATTATATTTGTATTAAAAGGAAAATATGTCCATAGTTTTTTCCAAAGATCTGCTTCCAAGATTTAATTACATACTGCGTGCCATCTAATTTGATATGATAATAACTAATCTCCATCTAACAAAAGAAGCATTAAGTTTAGAGATTAATTGCTTTTGAGATACTCTTGCTTGTTTATATATCTGTTCAAAAACAGTTAAAGGTTGTTGAAGAACAGTAGATATCCGAATTCGAGAGCAAAGATGGCTAATTTGTAAAAACTGAAACCATGGTATTATGGTTCCTAATTCCTCCTCTAGCATAGCATAGTATGGGTGCATTTTTATATGTAAGATCAGAGGTCGATTCGGGGGGGATCGCCGTTCCCCCGGGTGAGGTGCGGGGGCGGGGCACACGACGAAGCCCCGTCCCCTGCTTTCGGCCGTCCCGCTTCCGGCCCTCATTCAGCCAGGAGGAGACAGGAGAAGAGGGAGGGTAAGTTGCTTGCTCCCCGCCTCTCCCCACCCCTGCCTGCCTGGGGCCAGGGAGGGCCTTTGCGGGGCTTCCTTGCACTCCCGTCGGCCTTGCAGGTCCACCGCCGGGCCCCCGATGGGGCTCAGCAGTGGAGCCGCAAGGCCGGCGCCGGCAGCCGGGACCATTGGGGGCAGGGGGCCTTCGCGGGGCTTCCTCGCACTCCCGCCGGCCTTGCAGGTCCACCGCCAGGCCCCTGATGGGGCTCAGCAGTGGAGCTGCAAGGTTGGCGGCGGCGGCCGGGACCATTGGGGGCAGGGGGGCCCTTCGCGGGGCTTCCTTGCCAGGGCTCATAACTGAGTGGTGGGTGTGGCCTTATGACACACTTCCGGTGATGGCAGGGGGTGTGGCATATGCTAATGAGTTATGGTAATGAGTCCCCCTAGCTCTTTTTCTATGAAACAACCCCTGTGTAAGATCTTCAAGTTTAGTAAGATTGGCTTTCATCCATTTGTCATAATTTATTGAGAAGTTTGGTGATAGCAGTTTTGATTAATTTTTTTTTTGAAATTGAGATACTACTGGAACTAATTGTTTTCTCTTATTTTCCCATGTAGGTAGAATTGTTTTTAAAATAAAACTGTCCTGCTTACCTTTCGACCGTTCACATTGATCTTGCCAGATTGTTTCTGGAATTTTATATGGGTAAGTATAAAACTGCTGTATTAAGAGTCAGTCTGTATCTGAGTAATTTTGCAGCATCTTGAGTATATTTGAAAGCTGGCACGCTTGGTAATTAAATCCGGAAATCCTAGGCCACCCTGTGTTGTATGTTTACACTGTGTCGTCACATTAATTCGATGTTGCTTATAAGCCCCCCCCCAAATTTATTAGTGCAGATTGCCATTTACTAAGTTGTGATGGAGATATTTTTATTGGAAGTGCTCTGAATAAAAAAAGGAATTTTAGTAAGATATACATTTTTATGATATTAAGTCTGTCATGTCATGAGATCCTCATTTTATGCCAATGATGTATATATATTTTAATTTCTACAAACAGAGTGTTGTAGTTAACCTTTTGGAGGTTTTTAAAATCAATTGGTATTTTAATTCCAAGATATGGCATAGTATTTATCAGCTATATGGGGTAAAACTTTTGATATAATTGATTGAGTGTCCATATTTATAGGAAAAAAATATAAGATTTATTTTCATTGATTTTTAGTCCTGATACGTTGCTAAATTCACTTAGGATTTGTTGTAAATTTAGTATTGATATTGGGGGCCAAGTAAGAAATAATGGAATGTCATCTGCAAATAATGACAATTTATATTCCTTGTCTTGGATTTGAATACCATAACTTTTAGAACGAGATCTTATTTTTGACGCCAAGGGCTCCATCGTTACAGCAAATAATAGTGGAGAAAGAGGGCATCCTTGGCATGTACCTCATTTTAAATTAAATTGTTCGGATATATTACCATTGATTTTAAGATATGCCATTGGTTGATTGTATATTGTATTGATTATCCACAAAAAAAATTCTCCAAACCCTAAAAAGCTTAATACTCTTGTTGATTAGCCAGGAAGATGGCAGCTGGCGTTTAATCACTCCCCTCTGCTTATCCTTTATTGCTTTTAAATTGCTTTTTAAGATATACTTTAACTCAACTTGTGTTCAAAGTTAGAGTGAAGCCTGAGTGTCTGCAGCTGTTTTTGGAAGACAAGTTTTATCTCCACAGCTGGTGTTGTTAATGGTGAGATAAGAGTGACTACGTAAACAAGCAGCCAGCTTGATTGATTATTCTTTTAAACTTTTAGCTGGTGGTAGACTGGATTTACTCTACGTACCTTGTAACATGTGTGGATTTTAAATTATTTTAACATTTTAAATTATTTTAAAATTAAAACTTTTAAGCAAGTTAGAGAGGAGGAGGCTCACTCCCTCCCCTCCTCAAAACAACTAAAAATTGATGACTATTACATACCTCAAATTCCCACTACGAATCATTTTGCAGTGTTGGAGGATAAAAATGATTGCGCAGACAGACCAAGAGAGCCTCCGCGTCTTTGCTCCAAAAAAATGCAAAATAAAAACTAATTGAGGACTATAAAGACTAAAACTACTAGCTGATAAGGATGGGGAGGCAAAGAGGAGGGAAAGGAGGGAAAGGAGCCAAGAAAAATAACGAGGAAGCTCAACAAAGTGAGCAAACTATGCAACCATCGGATGGAGACTCCCCCCCCCCCATTAGAACTCGACTCCGAAGAGGAGGCAACCAGCCGGCAGAGCAAAAGGAAACGTGAGGACTCAATCACCAAAAAAGATATACAGTCTATGCTGGTAGAAATGAAAAAAGAATTTAAAGATAGTATCACCCCTATCCATCAGAAATTGGATGCTATGAATCTCAGCCTAACAGACTTGAAAGAACGGACGGACCAGGCTCTGATACAAAGTGCCAGGAATAAGCAGGACATTAAAAACCTACAGACTTTTGAGACTTGGAGTAAGTCCAAAATTATTCTTTTGGATATAAAGGCACGGGAACGAAAAATTAAATTCAGGGGGATCTCACCAAATTTTTCTACTGAGAAAGACCTCACAGACACTTTAAATGTGTGGCTTCAGGCATTATTGCAACTGCCAGCTGCACCAATTAGCCAAGCTTATCGGCTGAAGCCACTCCAAGCAACCTCGCCCACACTCATACCAGACATTCTTGCTGAGCTAACAGACATTAAAGTGAAGAACATCGTTTTAGAAGCCGCAAGAAAAAATAATGGACTTCAATTAGAAGACATTAAAATACAAGTGTTCCAGGACCTGCCATCCGAAATCTTGACAGCACGTCGGAATCTGAAACCAATTACAAAGAGGTTGACAGAAAAACAAATTAGGTATCGTTGGCTACCACTGGGACATTTATATATAAATTATAAAGGCAGAACCTTCAACGTCCATGATATCAAGTCCGGAGAGGAAATGTTAAGTGCTCTAGAACTTTAAGTTTCGGACAAAAAATGTGATGACAAAAGGTTTAATTTCAGATAAGCTGATTTAATATTAATATTTTGTTTTAAACATAGTGACATTAAGGTATAATAGGAGCATAGCGGGAAAGGCACTTGGAAGGAACTCCCCTACCACCTCCCAGAGGGTGGGGCCTTAGAGGAAGACCCCCTTTGGAATTTCCAAAGCCCCATACAGAGGTGGCAATCCCCAAGAACTCTGCCACGAAGATTTAAATTTTGTGGCCGCTGATTATTCTTTTTATTTAAGAGTAATTAAAAGGCATAATATATTATAGATAAGATATAAGAGAAATTCTTTGGGATAACAATAACTATAATTTTATTAAGTTTGTATAATTTGAGTTGGAGTTTAAGGAAAGAAAAAATAGTGTGTTAAGCGTGCACTGGCAATGACGGGGGGGAAATCATTTAATTTCTATAACCATTATAACTTAACAGCCATTGCTATGTGATATGATGTATAAGAGGTTGTAACAGATTATACAGTATTATAAAAAGTGTGATTTGTGTTGTAAGCATGTGACAAGGAAAATAAAAAATAATAATTAAAAAAAATGATTGCTCTGAGACTACAGCTACTTCTGCTTTGTATTATTCTATGTTAGAGAATGCAGCAGAAAACAATGACGTTAATGAGAAGCAAGACAGAGAGACAGTAAACTTAGGAGCAGGTGCAGGGTCCCTTGAACTGCTCCAGCTGACTGCTAAGACGGTGGAGTATATTTGCAA